GCGAGATCGTGACCTGGCTGAAGTCGGACGCTTAACCGACTGCGCCACCCAGGCGCCCCCATTTTCTATTATTTAATGTATGTAAACAAACATAGGTACGCATATATACCCAAAAAACTTAACAGTGAATACTTGGGGTGCCTAGGTGGCTCCATCGGTTAAGCTACCCATCTTTGATTTTGGCTCAGGTCATGGTCTCACAGTTCGTGAATTCGAGCCCCAATTCAGGCTCTGCACTGGTAGTGTGAAGACTGTTTAGGATCCCTCCCTCTCTCCCTCTCTCTCTGCCCCTCTCCCACTCCTGCATGCGCATACTCTCTCTCTCAAAACAAATAAACTTTAAAAAACAAAAAAGAATGTGGGGAAATTGGAACCCTTGTACATTGATGCTAGGAATATAAAATGGTGCAGCCACTTTGGTGAACAGCTTGACAATTCCCCAAAAAGTTAAACATAGACACAAGATTTCTAGTTCTAGGTGTATACCCATGAGGACTGAAGACATATGCCTACACGAAAACTTGCACATGATTGTTCATAGCAGCACTATTCACAACAGTCAAAAGGTAGAAAGGATCCAATCATCCATTGGCTGATAAATGGATAAAATGCAGAATACAATGGAATGTTAAGTGATAATATTCCTACATGCTGATACCTGCTACAACATGGATAAACCTAGAAAACATTATGCTAAGTGAAAGAAACCAGACACAAAACGTCACATGCTATATGATTCCATTTTGATGGAATGTCCAGAACAGGGAAATCTATAGGAACAGAAAGTAAATTAGGGGTTGCTTAGGGCTGGAGAGAATGAGGGGGTCAGAGGGTACAGGGGTTTTTATTGAGGGGATGTAAATGTCTTCAAATTGTGGTGATATCTGCACAACTCATTAAAATATACTAAAACCACTGATTTGTACACTTTAAATGGGCAAACTATATGGTACATAAATTTTATCACAATTAAAAAAATCATCCTCCCCATCTTTTCAAAAGATGGGACCTTAGACCATCTGGGTCCAACTTTCTCACTTTACAGACAAGGTGCTAAAGCCTCAAGAGAGGTTAAATGAATTGCCCAAGGTCACTTGTCCTTCAGACCCCTGGTCTAACGCCCATTAAGCTATTATGGTCTCATCCAGTCTATACTGCTTCAAGTGAGCTCAAATAGCCATTAGAACAAAATCAGTAAAGTCACACAAGCCATTTCAGATCTGGCACAGAGGTCTGAGCCTGGTTTTAAAAATACATGGTGTAGGGGGCACCTGGGTGGCTCAGTTAAGCATCCCACTCTTGGTCTCAGCTCAGGTCATGGTCTCACGGTTCGTGAGTTCAAGCCCCATATCGGGCTAACACTGCCAGCGCAGAGCCTGCTTGTGATTCTCTCTCTCTCTCTCTCTCTCTCTCTCTGCCCCTCTCCTGCTCACATGAGCTCATGCATGCTCATGTATACACACATACACTCTCAAAATAAAGAAATTTATATAAAAAATAAAAAAGAAATAAATAAAAATACATGACGTAGTTGTATGACAGAGGATGTATCACAGAGTCCAAGCAGAGTGTGGGCTTCCAGACAAGTGGACCTGGATTGAAATCCAGCTTTGTATGAGCTTGACCGAGCTATTTACCCTATGAGCCTCCATAAATTGTACATAATAAAGGCATTCTTTGTGAGCAAGGGAGGAAATACTCCATGTAGTGTGCTGGGCACATAAATGTTCACTTCCTTCCTCCTGCCTTATGATCGTGGAGAGGCCTTCACAACTGAGACCTTGGTAAGGTCAATTAGGCACATTTACTCAGATTGGGTTTCCCGGGGATGAAATTCTCTGCTGGACAGAGTTCATCCTGCCGCATGCACACATCTAGCAGTGCCTCTTCCCCTTGTGACTCTGACACATTGTCATCAGTCCAACAAGGCTGAAAACATTCACAGGAACACCACTCAGAAGCTGGAATAGAAAAGCACCCTTCAGGGGCGCCTGGGTGGCTCAGTTGGCGGCTCAGTTGGTTAAGCATCCAACTTCAGTTCAGATCATGATCTCACGGTTGATGAGTTCAAGCCCCACATTGAGCTCTCTGCTGTCAGCACAGAGCCCACTTCGGATCAGACCCTCTGTCCCCTTCTCTCTCTGCCCCTTCCCTGCTTGCCCGTGTGCCCTCTGCTTTCTCTCTCTCAAAAATAAATATTAAAGAAAAGAAA